TGGGATCCTCATGAAAATGAGACGTTTATATTATGAGTAAGCTTGGAAGGTTTTGATTTTTATCACTAAATGTCGCTAAATGTTGATGTCACTGTATGCACACAAACCAATAACAAATATTTTTATCAATAAACATCAAAATATACAGATAGGCAAAGAAAGAAAAATGCTGCCTGAGAACTTATTAGAGTCAAAATCCAATGATTTAGACTTTTAAATTAGGCTTGTTACAAATGGACTACTAGCAAATGAACAGTAAAAACAGGTATGATTTGTTGATTTAAGGCTATTTCCTTTTTATATTTTGACATGTGATGTCGACAATTTGTGTTTTAACAGTTATAAAGCTTTAACTTTTTGAATCTCAGTGTCTGCTGTCATTAAATAATTGACTGACTTCCCCCCTCCCCACAAAATTTTCCTGCAATTGTGAAAATTTAAATTGATAAAAATCAAAAATGCATAAACACCATAATTTTGTGCAACTGTAAAAATTTTAAGATACAAATAAAATATCAATATTATAGGTCAAAATCATTTTAAAAAATCAAATTCTGCAAAGCCCAATTATGAGGTATCCTAATTAGCAATACATTTAAATGAAATAATCCTGTAGACAAAGGAAAGGAGAATTTATAATCTGATGCACAATAAATGCATTAGTTTGACTTATCTACATGTTTATCAGGTCAACTGCCTTCTGATTAAACATGCATAGATGCTTCACAAGTGCTTCTTGGAAGCTTCCCCTTCAATGTTGTTACATCCTTTTAGAAAACACAAAAGAGACACACTAGCCCCAATAGCTCAAGTGATTTTTTCCTTCCAGCCTGTTCCACATGCAAGTTGATTGTTTCTGAGTAGCATTAGGTGAGGTGAAGTGGCTGCAGCAATGGAAAATGACTAAAATCAATTTATCTGAAGTGCTATCTCCAGTGCCTTATTTATGTGATTCTTGTCAATTTCTATTCATTCCGGGAGACAAGAGGACAGAGATGAGCACAGGGCCAGATCATTCCTCTTAAATCAAATAATAGTGCTCCCCAAAAATGTAAGGGGAAAGATATGCACAAAACTGCACTACAGGAGGGTTGCTCTTGCTACACTGTACCATTGATCAAATTACAGTCCTACCCCATGTGCATAGGCTGCAGTGGGTATAGTTAGTGGTAGCATGGTATAAATAAACACGAAGAATGGTATCAAAACCATTGGAAAGGCTGCTCATTTACAGCAGTTGCCAAGCTCACAAGAAGCAGGGTGATATCAATCAGGTCACTGAGAAAAATCAGTATTCTGGCTAGTCCTGTGCTTACTGGTTGAAAGAGAAAGAATCAGTCAGTGCAGGCACAGCTCTCATACTTGTCTGAGGCAGTAGGACACAGGACCGCTGTACATCAGCATGCTGGCAGTAGGCTGTAAGTGAAAGTGATCTTTGCAGAATATGGCAATGGGTGCCAGACTGAAGGTGGCACTAATTAAAAGTTTGGTAAAATGTACCAGTACACCTCCTTTTCCCACAAACAAGTAGATGTTGCCACACTCCTGGCAGTTATTTCAGATCTCTGGATTGAGAGTCTAACAGTATTTCTGAAATGTCAGCAAACACAATGATACAGAGCATCAGTTGGCAGCCTTGAGAAATAAGCATCTGCACAGACAAAAATCAACAGAAATAGATCTATATAATAAGCAGTAAATGGGAGTAAAGAACAAACACCCATCTGAAAAGGTGAAAAGGCCTAACGTAACAGGATTTTTCTGTGTTAGCAGGTTAACCAAATATAAGTCACTGTGCAGTTAGATTTTTTTTTTTAATCTTAATTGAAAAAAGATTAATGAAGTTTTTGACCCCACAGCTTTTCCTTTCTATTAATTTTTGAAAACTGTAACCTTATTTATAAAGACAGAGAAGAATTTAATGCTTGTGGACTATGATTTTGAATGCTCAGACGTTAAAGTATCATCCCTGCATGAGAAAACTATATGCTGATTTCTTTGATTTGATGTAATGTCAAATTACAAAGACATTTGAACTGGCATTAGAATTAATCACCTCACTGAATCAGGTCCTAAATCAAAACATAATCAGAAGAGTAGTCAATCCTTGCTCAAGCAAGTGCTCCATAGCATGTGTAAGGCCAAGACATAATCGTACATTGGCCGGCCCACCAGCTGTTCAGCGCAGCTTTGTCCCACATACACATCCCTCTCCCAACATGTCTGAGTTCCCTGGGACCAGGGTTTAACCAGGACTAGCTGATACCATGCAGCACACTCTTTGCCCTGGCCTACGCTGACATGGTCAGCATTGTGTCAGCTCACTCAAACCTCCACAACTGTGTCTGATGGTGGTTATGTTGCACAATGTAAATGAGCCCTGTGAGCACACCTGGCCCACGTGCATAGGAGAGATGGTGCTCAACTTGAGTCTGGTAGTGCCTTGGTCTGAGCACCACACTGCTGCGAATTACACATGCTTCCTCTGTGACAGGCACGCCAGGAAGGCCAGACCCACAGGGAAATGGAGGGGAGGTAGAGGTTGCTAGGAAAAGCTGAAAGAAGATTGACTGATAGGGCGATCCCCAGGAGAGATGGACAGCCTGGGTTGCCACTGGGGGGCAGATGGGAAGGGGAGGCCAGGCTGCCGCGAGGGACAGATAAGGGGAGGCAGAGGCTAGGCTGTTATTGGGGGGCATAGGGCAGGCTGCTGTTGGGAAAGTGGGAAGCCCAGGCTTTAAAGTGCACAGGGGGAGGTCCAGGCTGCATGGAGAGGAGGGGACACAGGGCAGGGGGAGGCCCAGTCTCACAGGGGAGAGGGGTCACAGGGGCAAGTGGAGGCCGAGGCTGCACGGGGCAGGGGAAGACTCAGGCTGCACGGGTGAGAGGGATGAGGAGGCCTGTGACACTGATAGACCAGGGGCCAGCTTTTGCCAAGGCTGTAGGCATCAGCTGAGCACTGACAAATTCATAGCTGGAAACTAGACCAGCTCACCTGTATGTTAGTATTGTTCCAGTTAGGTATTAGACTTATAAAGATGTGATTAGCTACTATAAAATGTTTGTAACTTGCTGCATGCATTACTCTTTATTGTAATGTCTGTACCCCATGCTATAAGGTAATCTGTACGTTTTAGTTTATAACTGTTAAAATGCCTGCTCTCAACTTGTGAACCCAGGATGCAGGAGGGTTACCCCACCCATCAAGGACTATCAAAACTAAGTGGGCCATTGTGAAGCACCATGATACAAAGACTGGGCTAATGGCCCTCACATCCGTGAAGATACTACATGCAAGGAAGCTCCTTGCATCAGTTTGAATTCTGAAGGAAGGAAATAAAGATAGCTGACATGAAAGTTCTTCATCTCACTTTGCTGTTTGGACTCTCACAGGGTTGGAGCTAGGAAACAAAAGCACAGATCCCCAGGGTCAACCTGGGTTAGCCCTAAAAAGACATTCAGATGTCATCTTTTGGAACCATATAGATTGTAACCCATTTATGTATATATAGTACCTGCTTTAATCTGTAAATAACTCTCATTTCTTTTAGCTAGTTAATAAATTCTTAGTATTTTACTATAGGATTTGCTACAAGCGTTGTCTTTGGTGTGAAATCTGAGGTGCAAATTGACCTGGGGTAAATGACTGGGAGCAACCTGAATATTTTGTGAATTTTGGAATATAGCAACCATCTATTACAAAATCCAGCTTGCCTGGGGGGTGGGAAAAACTGGAATGCCCAAAGGGACGGTCTGTAACTCCGTGGCAGTATTGCCAACCCCAAATGTTCAAAAATCATGAGTCAGGCTCATCAAAAATCATGAGATTGGCTTTAAAATCAAGAGATTGTGTAAAAATAATAGATTTGGAATTCTTTTTATTTGCCTTCTGCTTTTTGAGCCTTTAGGGTGCACTGGAGTCACATTTTGAAACTTTTTTCACAAACAAGAGAGCTAGAAACTTACTTTTTCTTTAATAAATGACGGCAGAAACCATCATCTATCCACTTGACTCCAGGAGCTGGGGGGTTAAGGAAAACAATAATTACCATGAGACTCATGACAAAATTATGAGAGTTGGCAACACAGACTGTTATAGGACTTTAGAAGTTCACATCTGTTACTGGGTTGGTGAAACCTAATTACAGAACATACCACTAGTTTGGGGTGTCTGCCCTGTGTCTTGAGAGTCTTCCCTGAGGTTTGCACTCACGGACCAGACAGCATGACAAGGCCCAGGCTGGGAGGAAGGACACAGGGGAGGAGGCAGCCCAGGCTGCAAAGTGGAAGGGGGCACACAGGGTGGGGGAGGCACAGGCTCCCACCCAGGGCATAAGGTGGAAGGCACAGGGGGGTCCCAGGCTGCATGGGATGTGGGGGGAAGAAAGAGGCAAGGTAGGGCAGGGAGAGGCTCAGGGCAGGGGTGGGGGTCCCAAGTGGTACTGGGGAGGGGGCAGGGCAAGGGGGGGGTCAGTGCAGGGGAAGGGGCAAAGGAGGAAGGGGCAGGGCAAGGGGGGTCAGTGCACAGGAGGGGACAGGGCAAGGGAGCAGTGTGGGGGAGGAGGAAGAGGCAGGGCAAGGGGGGTCTGTGCGGGGGGGAGGAGAAGGAAGGTGCAGGGCAAGGGGAGGAGGAGAAAGGGGCAGGGCAAGGGGGCAGTGCGGGAAGGAGGAGGAAGGTGCAGGGCAAGGGGGGGCAGTGCGGGGGGGAAGGAAGAGGCAGGGCAAGGGGGCAGTGTGGGGGAAGGGGAGAATGAGGAAGGGGCAGGGCAAGGGGGGCACTGTGGGGGAAGGAGCAGAGGAAGGAGGGAGGACGAGGAGGAAGGGGCGGGGTAGGGCAAAGGGGACTGGGGGGAGGGGCAAGGCCAAGGGGGGCAGTGGGAGAAGGGGCAAAGCGGGGGCGAGACAGGATTCCGTGGGGGCAGAGGTCAGGGGAGGCCCGGCTCACTGCCTGCGCCGCATCGGGCAGTGCCAGTGACCCGTTCCCTGCTCTTCCCCCGCGCTCCGTAGCGGGAGGGTCGCTGCTGTGCTCAGCGGCCGCCCCAGGCCGACAGGTGGCGCTGCCGCGAGCCGGGCCCTGTCCCGAGCCGGGCGGGTCCATTGGGCCGGAGAGGGGGAGGGCGCTAGCGCTCCCCCGCGCGCCGCGCTGTAGTGTGGGGTTCCGGCCGCTGAGGACGTGGCTGGCCCGGCTCAGCTTCCGCAAGTTCCGCTGCGGGCCGCGGCTTACGGGCCTTGCCTCCCTCCCGAGCTCGGCGAGTGAGTGCGCCCGGCCCGAGCTCGCAGCACGCGGAGGATGAGGAGGCCCCGCGGCGGGGGAGGCGGCCTCCGCGGCTCCTGAGACCCGGCATGGAGACGCCCTACAGCGGCGAGGCCCTGGCCGGAGGCGGGGGGCTGGGGCCCGTGGATGTGCCCAGCGCCCGGTAACTGCAGCTCCCAGCGCGAGGAAGGGGGGGACTGGGACCCTCTCCGGGGTCTCTACTCAGGCTGCCAGCAGGGGGGTGAGGGGAGTCCCTGCGCCGCCCGCTCAGGCTGTATTTCACCCAGTGCCCAGGCGGGCAGAGGGCCTCTGAGCCAGCCTGCGTCCCCGAGTGGATCTCGGTCCCTGTTGCCGCCTGCTTAGGAAATGCCTCTGATCATTTTTCTTTTGCAGGCTGACCAGATACATTGTGCTGCTGTGTTTCACCAAGTTTTTAAAGGCTCTGGGACTTTTTGAATCCTATGATCTCCTGAAAGTGGTCCACCTTGTCCAGTTTATCTTTATAGTACAGCTGGGGTAAGTGTGCTGTTGTTTAAGCCTTTTATAACACTGCTGCAGCTTCTTTCATTTGAGAATAGTTTTGTGGCAATGAATGCCTGGGTTTCTTTCCATTGGGTTTGTAAAAGATTCATTCGGAAAGGAAAGAAAAGTTTCGTTCATAATAAGTCAAGGGCGTTTGTTCCTTTTGTGTGCTGCATGACCGGTTGTTAAAGGGAAAAACCTTCCTTGTTTCTGATGGGATGTACATTTTGACAAAGGATAACAGCTCCTGACAGATGTGCAAGAAAAAAGTTGAGATGCTTTGTTGTCCTATCCAGCTACTCGGCCTGCTTTTCCTTTACCCCTTTTCAGATTTTTATTTTCAATGGGGAATTTGTAGGTACTGATGTAGTGATGGTTAGAGTGTAGCTGTTGTGCTTTGACTTTATTAGATAAAGGGTAGTCTAAGCATCCTTTTGCCATGGATGGTAAAAGAATTTGTGTTGTAATGCACAGCTGTATGATGCTACAAAACTAACCATTTAATTGATAATAGAAATACAATGGTAGATGCATTTAAAATGATCATCCCCAGTTCTAGTAATAGTCCCTGTACTTAAGAGGAAGAATATCTTATTAGAATCAATAGTATCTAAAACCCTAATCTTTAAGCATACTTACTGTAGTTTGAGAAACTATAGGGAAGAAGGAAAAATTTTTTAATTCATTAAAGTGCTTGTAGTTGCTACTTTTAGACAGATGATGTAATGACAAATACTGAGTAAAGAGAATAAATGTGTATCTAGAATATTTCATTTAAGTAAAAATTACAAGTAAGATCAGTATGGTCTCTTCTTATGCTACTCTTTTCTTTGGAAGGAAGCTAAGCTGCCCTCCACTCTAGAATCTTACTTTCTACATCTATTGTCATCATTAATAGCTTTGTTGGTAGCTGGACCAATACTAATTTAAGCTTAGCTCATAATGAGTTGTGAAAGCTGTGCTATAACTAACTTGATAACATTGACTAATATCAATTAGCTTTATGTTCCCATTTTATTTCCACTTTTGGGTTTTTCACTTGGCTATTTCCAAACAACATAATCTTTTTTTTTTCTTTTAGTTTATTTTTTATGGTTGTTGGGAAGGTAGGATATAGGGTACAGGTCTGTCTCATCTTACACGGGGGTTCCGTTCCACGGTTAGCACGTAAAGCGAAAACCGCGTATAGCCAAAACCCCATTGAGTTCAATGGCGGGCGAAATCGCCCACACTACAGGTATAGTATTAAAATTGTTGTTTTTCTTTTTTGTTTGTTTTTGTTTTGTTTTTGCCGACCGCGTAAAGTTGAAATCGCGCATGTTAAATGCGCGTAAGATGCGACAGACCTGTATACTCTTTCAGGCCAGTTCTAGTACAGGTGTGTGGATGAGTGGCTTTATTTAGTTTTTATGCACTCAGAAGCCTTCAGGTAGGGGCACCTTAGAAATGAAAATGTAACAGTAGTATTATATAATCATGCTCCCCTTTAAAACTCTATTCTTTTCTACACATTCACTTATTTTGATCCCTGCTAAGTGTGAATTAACAACCATTTGGCTATCCTCTGCCAGACTTGTATGGCTGGCAAAATAGGCAGGACTAAAATTCATTTGCTACAAAAAGCTTACTGAAGCTTATGGCTACTTGAATAGCTGAAATGGGCTATGGGGGACAGAAACATATTGAGCCACTGTTGTTTTTTCCCTCCCGCAAAAGCCAGGTAGCATTCATTTAAAATACAAGTGGAGCTGTAGAATAGTTACTTGTTACGGGGGAGAAACAGTTGCCTAGAACTAGTGTGAATAATAAAATAGCTACATTTGAACTTTGACTGAAAGTGCACTTGAACTAGTACACTAATGGAGAATATTTCCCCTAACAGGTCTGCATTTTTTATGGTTTTGTTTCAAAAGCCATTTTCTTCTGGAAAAACTGTGACCAAGCGCCAGGTGAGTTGACTTATACCTAATGCTTGAACACTCACTTTTAGATACTCTGGGACAATATGAATAATGGCTCTAGTAAAATGTTTAGTTGCTTGCTGGAAGTGAAAGGGATGTTTCTGGTTTCATCTGGAAAACATGGCTGGGATTTTCAAAATGACCTAAGTGACTTAGGAGCTCAAGTCCCATGGAAAATTACATCCTGCGTGAGCACTCTGTTCTTTACCAACTAACATGCAAATAGCTGTAAATATGAAGAGATCAGTCCTGAGCTGCACCCTGGGGAATGCCTCCTGTACCAGGGACCAAGAGGAGGAGGGTGGCCCAGAGGATTGTATTGTGCAGGAGGGTTTGGGCCACCAGCTTTTCAGCCCCTTTGTGCTGATCCCACAGTGCAGAGGAGTCCGAGCAGTTGTCAGAATGGAGCCTGAAATATGGAGAGGAAGAACTTTTGTCGTCATCCCTTCCCTGCATTCATCTTTATATAAAATAATTGATTGTGCCACTACATAGTAATTTGGAATGTATTTAGTATAGAGGATCTGAACCAGGAAATGTCCTAAAGGTAAATTTGGCTTGAGAAAGCTCATCGCAGAATTTAAAAGAAAGTGAGAGGGGGACCAAATTTCTTGGTTTTGTCATACATCAGGAAAAATCTATCTTTCTGTCTGCTAAAGGTATTAATTTGGTCTTAACTCAAATGTTGGATTTTTAAGATTTTTGGCGTAAGAATAACTTGAGTGGATTATTTAAAAAATAAAAATCGCATCTAACTTTATCTAGTTGTTTGTCTGGTTTAAAACAAGAAAATACATCTATTATTTGCAGTGGTGTTGTAGCCAAGTTGGTCCCAGGATATTAGAGAGACCTGGTGGGTGAGTTAATATCTTTTATTGGGCCAACAGAACTTCTCACCCACTTGTCTCACTAAAATATATCCTAAGTAGTTTTATTTTAATAAAAATGAGCTGCATCTCCTGATAAAGACTTCTTAAATCATAATCCTTCAAATTTTAGGTGCATGCTTAATTGTAAGCACGTAAGTAGTCCCAGTTGACTGGGATTAAAATTAAGTACATACATAAATATTTGTAGGGTCAAGGCCTTAGTTTTATAATGTTGAACAACTTTATCTAGCACTGTGAATGTCTGTCAGATGTATTTTATTGTGTAATACACTGAGTGTTAGCATTTTTTGACCACTAAGTAAATTTGACTTCAGCCTAGCTATTGTAACCCATGGATTTTTTTTAAAAAGGCACTAAAACTACATCAAAAGAACTTGCTGCTGTGATAGAAAATGATAAAAGTAAAGAATTTCAGCCATAAAATGTATTTCCAAAAGTAAACATAATGGGTCATTGTGAAGTAGTCAAGACAAGTCAGATCGTTTTCATTTCTGAAGATGCTCTACAGCATACATTTTAACGTTCCTTTAATGTAATGATTGGTATGTGAACTGAATGCAAGATGTTTGTTTGGAAAGCAGGCAAAAAATGTTAATAAAATGTTTTTCTTTTATAGTGGATCAAAATAGTTAAACATGCTGTTGTTGGCTGTATCATTTCACTTTTGTGGTTTTTTGGCCTCACTCTTTGTGGACCTCTCAGGTAACGTACATGCCTGAAAGCATACTTTATTTGTATACACGAACTTAATTTGTTTTATAGTTATTTGAAATAGCAAGTCTGTACACTTAATTTATTTTTAAATGAAGTGTGTTTGATAGAAATGTACTTTTGTTTGTTTATAAAAATAAATCCTCAGATGAGCAGCCATTATTCAGTTCCTGGTTTGCTACAGGACATCCTAGTTTACTCTTTTAGTGTGGAGGGGCTGAGCGTACTGTGGTGATGGTAATACTCTTAGGTCTGTGTAGAGAAAAAGTCCCTTTAGTTCATTAAGTGGCAATCACTGAGTGATGCAAGGGACTATCTTGACTGATTCAGAAAGGATCAGAAAAAAGATGACAACATTGGACTTCCAGAGGGGAAGAGCTTCGGGAAAGCCTCTCTCTGAATAGTTAATATGTGGAGATAGGGCTTAAAGCTATCTAATTCTGCAAAGGTTAAGCTTTAGTTTGCCTAAAAAAAAAAAAGGGAGGGGGGAGGTTTAGCTCTTATGATAGCAAAGATGTCCAAATGCGAATCAATTTACTGCTGTTTTCTCAGGTCAGCTGAAAGTTCCAGTGCCTTTGTGAATGCTAGATGTTTTCCCAAGCAGAAGCAGTGAAAATGATATGTCTTGTAGTCACTTTTACTGCTGCTATTAAGAAAACTATGCACATTTGTAAAAACTGACACTTTCAAACTTCTGCTGCTTGGGAAAGCTACCAGCAGTAGAGGAAGTCAGTGGAGTTATGAATGGTGGATGAGGATCCAAAAGTGAGAACTATACGTTGTCTGCATTGAGGCGATTGTATGAGAAGGGAGAGTAGTGGAAATCAGCTCCTCAGTAATCAGAAGTTAACAGGAAAAGAAAAGGTCCTTTTCCCAGCCAGAGAACAGGGAACTTCAGATTTATCAGACATTATTGTAATATGAACATTAATTCCATCTTGAGCAGTTTGATTCTTGATGCTCTAATAAAGCACGCTACTGTTTAAAAAGTGTTTAGGTAGTTACTACTACTCAATTACTGTACATGATCTATTGTTTGAGCTAGAAAATAGGTGTTTTTATGTGATTTGTCATCATGGCAGAGTCTATCAACAGCTGGATTGCTGGACTACACTTCAGGTTCCCTACCATTCTTTTGAATTGCACAATGTTCCTATTGAAGCCATAGATTAAATTCTTGACCTCCCTTCCATTTAATTTTAGTTGAAACCAGGTATATCAAGCTAGTGCATCATATTGAAATGGACGTGATAAAAATTGGTGTCTCTCTTGTTTTGTAGGACATTGTTGCTGTTTGAGCACAGTGATGTGGTTGTTGTGTCACTGCTTAGTGTTTTGTTCACAAGTTCAGGAGGAGGACCAGCAAAGGTATTTAAATATTTTTTGTTGAAAAAGACCATTATAATGTATAACTTTAAAATGTAACTGGTATTCAGGAATACAGAAGAGGTAAACCTAATTCTTTCTCACTCAAATTCATAAAAGGGATAGGTAAATTATGTATATTTTAAGTTTAAATGTAGGTGAAACTACAATCTGTACTTCCTTTTTTAATGAAATAAATATGCAAACAGGCACACATACAAGGAGTAACAACATGAAAAGGTGTTTGAGATTCACAGTGATGAAGAGATGGAAGAAGTTTATCATTTGTATGCCGAAGAAACTTAAAATATAGTATTTTGCACTTGTATAGCACTTTCCACCCAAGGACTTCAAAGTGATTTACAAACATTAGTAAATTAAACTTCATATTTCTGGGAGCAGAGAAACAAGGAAATATTATCCCCATCTTATGGATGTTTCAACTGAAGTACAGAGAGATTAGGTGACATTCCCAGGGTCATATACAGCAACCATAGCCATATTCTCAAAACAAATAATTCTGATACCTTTCATCTATAGATCTCAATGTGCTTTACAAAGGAAGCAAATATGATTATCCCCATTTTACAGAAGGGGGAAATGAGACACAGAACTGCTGTGACTTGTCCAAAGTCACCTAACAAGTCTGATAAAAGCTGAAAATAGTTTTTTTTTTTATAACCAAGATCAGTTTCTCCAAATGTAATTTTTGCTTTAAGGATTTTGTTTGGACTTTGTTTTTCTTACATGTACACACCTGTGGGGAAGGGAAAAGCCCTTTGCATGGTTTTTGTGCAACTTTTAATGTTTGCCATCCAAGTAAGCCATTTTATATTGATGCCCTTTTGTTGTCTTTCCAGACAAGAGGTGCTGCGTTTTTCATCATTGCTGTGATCTGCTTATTGCTTTTTGATAATGATGATCTCATGGCTAAAATTGCAGAACATCGTATCCTTTATCATGTGTTTGGAGTAAAAGTGTAAGTTAGCCTTGTTTCAACTGCATTTTCCTTTCCAGAGCATTGTACTTGTGACTGGAAAGAAAAGAGGAAACAGTCATTCCGAGCAACTAATCCAGTCAAATGCAGGTTATTAGTCACTTTAGGGATAACAGCATCGGCTATACATTTGCTATAAACAATTACAATCTAAATGAACATAATGACAGAAAAATCCCAATTTAGTTACCAGGCCCCTTCAACTAACTAGAAGCCTCTCTGTTCAGTTTCCCTCTCAGAGAAAGCTTGAGGCCTATGTCCCAGGAGTGGTGGATGCTCAGCACCTCATAATATGTCTCTACTGTGCAGTTAACCTGCGAGGATTGACACGTGGGTTAGCCTAGCCTGGTGTGAATCCCCACTGCAAAGCTGTACCCACATTTTTGTGTCCTCCCTGTTTATGCAATCCCATGTGTGTCTGGGGTACATCCCATGGTTTCTTGTGCTGAGGTACGAAGTGGGTTGTAGCCCACGAAAGCTTATGCTCTAATAAATTTGTTAGTCTCTAAGGTGCCACAAGTACTCCTGTTCTTTTTGCGGATACAGACTAACACGGCTGCTACTCTGAAACCGTTCTTTGTCAGTCATTTGTGTTAGCTGCAGGAGAGCTTATCTGTCCTTTGGAAGGAATTGTGGGAAGGACATTAGAGGACTGATTTAGCAGGCTCATCCACACCCAATCTTACCAATTGTCTTCCTTCATTTTCTGTTAGACCGATTTCACTTGCTTCTAAGTTAAAATATAATTTTTGTCTATTCAGAAGGAATCATTTTTTAAAAATTTTTATCTTGATTGCACCTCTTTTTTTATTTGTCAATTTCATTAATTTTCTCAAGTTTAAATTTTTGTTCGGAAACTCTTCAAAAGCTGTCTATTAACAGAATGTTTCATACTTTAGACATTTCATTGATAAATAAATATTGTAATGCTTCCAGTGAAAATTCATCTAAAATTTTATTTCTGGTATCCAGTTCATCCTCGTAAGTCCAAATAATTACCAGATTTAACATCAATGTTAAGACTAGCTTATGTGAAATGTTTCAAGTTCTTTCATTGAGTAACATCATTTCAGATATTTTACCTAAGGAAGCAATAGACTTATGGACTTCTGTAATTTAAAATTTTAGAATTATCCAAACTTCAAAGCTTAATTTGATTCAAATTTTACTTTCTTTAAATGTACAATGTTTCCTCCATTGCTCTCCTATGGTATTTACAGTTTCTGGTCCTCTTATATACCTGTAGCTGTGTTTTTCATTATTTTTTAAATAACATCAGTAAATCATTTGTGATCCTTATGAGAATGAGGTGCTGTTGAGATGTGGTTGGGCAGTTGGAAGAGGGTTCATTTGGAGAATCTCCCTTAACTTTGTTTAGCTGAGGGCCATCATGACAGTGCTCTTACCCATGTTCTTCATACAATCATTGCTTTCCTAGGAGTTGCAGATCACAAGGTAAATTGCTTTCTTCTGTAATCTATATGCTGAATTATTGAATGTGTTCATAAAAATTCTGAGAAGAGAGCTGCATTAATTCAAAATGTCCTATCAACTATTAGCAGCATTTTACTTTAATACATAAGCTGAAAGTATTTGTTAAATTTGTTCCTTTTTTACTTGAAGTAGTTTCATTTCAACTGTGACTTAGATATTCATGACCCTTAATAGACAAGCCCTCTGTTCCCTAGTGTTATCAGTCATTGTCTTGTGTGTCTGTCTCTTTCCCACGCTACTTGGAGCCTAAGAGCCAGATTCTGATACCCTCACTTGAGTTGGGTGATACCCCAATTTTCTCTGTAGCCCTATTTTAATTAGTGCTGCTTTTTACTGAGTAAAGTATCAGAATCATGCTGTATGAGGCTTATTGCTGTATTTGACTGGAACTGCCTGTCACACTCCAGCTAGTTAGTCTTGTTGCTGGAACTGCTGCACTGGCAAATGAAAAGCCGAAAAGAAAATACTGAATTTATGACACCGCTAGAAAACATTGGCCTTATTTAAAAATAACTTAACTCATCTGTCTGATTTAAATTGGTTAGCCTAGCACAGGGTAGATTAGACCTAAGAAATATGAGAAGCTAATTTTGTATATGTAAATATATTTTGTAAAGATTAGGGAACAATTTCTAAATAAAAGGTTGGGGAGAAATGACACAGGGCTTGAATGAAGATAAATAAATACAAAGAGTGTGGATGATATAAGATGATTCCATTTTATTTTCAAACATTTCCAATGTGCTACTTTGTGGGTGGAAGAAGGGAGAATGGCAAGAGAGAAATTGAAGATGGAGTTCCAGTTAGAAATACTGGGAGTTGCAAACTAAGTCATAGAACATTAGCGTTAGCAAATAAAGCTTATCTTTGGAGGGGACGGGGGAATACCTTGTCTGTGTCTTATGTTAATAAGTAAAAGGAGGAAATAAGGAAAAGAATATTAATATTCTGTCATGTAAATACTACTTATATTGGAGTGAGGTAGTTGACTTAAGTACTGTTAATAGGATCTATCTGTGTTGCAGGGTGGAGTGCTGTTGCTGGTACTGGCATTGTGTTGCAAGGTTGGTTTTCATATGGCTTCCCGAAAGCTCTCTATAGATGTAGGTGGAGCCAAGCGTCTTCAAGCTTTGTCTCATCTTGTTTCCGTCCTTCTGTTGTGCCCATGGGTCATCGTCCTATCTCTGACAACTGAGGTAACAGCATAGCAAGGGTTCATCAGCAAAAGTGACTGATATTCTAACAACTGCATTTGTAAACTGCAACATATACCTTTCCTTTACAAGAATTTATTTTACATTATTGGAACTTTTCTTGAGATTTTTGCTTGAAAAATAGATTGGTTTTATATGCACAGTGTTTCTGATACGTACATATGTGTGATTTGATTTTTTGTTTGTTTGGGTTTGCTCTCTCAAGACTCATAGGAAGAGGATATGTTGGACTGTGTGCGGTAGTTTGGTTTCTCTACTAACCTTACAGAGGCAGTGATGATGAAGATATTGTCTGTCTTGGGGAATACATGTTTTGTTCTAAATTTGCAGCTTTTACACCACTATCTTTCTATATAGAGAGAATTAAATCAATAGAAAACATTTTTATAGCAAATCAACTTCATTAATTTCCTAACTGGATTGTTTTTCTAGAAGACTTGTTCTAGTTCAAGCACAGATATTGGACTTGAAGCAGTAATTAATTCAGGGAAGTTCTGTGATCTATGTTAATACAGGAGGTCAGACTAGATGATCATGATGGTCCCTTGTGGCCTTATAATCTATGAATCTGTGAATACCTGTTTATTTAAAGTGTCTAAAGTATAGCAAACATGCAATAGATTAAATACTAGATACATAAACTGGTACTATATGTAGGTGACACTTCTGCCAACCTGTGATCAATACTGCTAAGAATTTGTTCTTTTTATCACAGAGTAAAGTAGAATCCTGGTCCTCTCTCATCATGCCTTTTATAACTGTTATCTTTTTCGTCGTGATCTTGGATTTTTATGTGGAGTCCATATGTTCTGTCAAGATGGAAGCCTCAAAGTGTGCCCGTTATGGATCGCTGCTCATTTTGATTAGTGCGCTGCTCTTTGGCAGCTTCTGGACACATCCGATAACAGATCAGCTTCGAGCTATGAACAAGCCAGCACACCATGAAATCACAGAGCACGTTCTCTCTGGAGGAGTGGTAGTGAGTGCCATTTTCTTCATTTTATGTACGTATTCCTTTTTTTCCCCTTTAAATGATAAACCAGTTAAAAATAATTATATATTACTGGAAGGTCACACACATTCTCTGTAGAATTCCACCACAGTTGCTTCTGTGGATTCCATGGGTGAGGGGGAACAGCACAGTATTGTAGACCCACAGCTACATTCATAATTCATTGCCTCCAAAAAAGGATACAGTAAATCTTTCTGCTTGTGGAAATGATGATCCAATCTAGTATAACAATAAAACATTAGCCTTGAAAATGAAGCTGGTGACTTTCACCACCTTGATATGCTTGTGGAAGTTTTAATCACTGATAAAACACTTGCATTATCAATCATCCATAAAGGTTAAAAACAACAACAAAAACATCTACCTCTCTTTGCAGCTGCCAATATTCTGTCCTCCCCCTCCAGGAAAGGGCAGAAAGGCACTCTTATTGGCTATTCTCCTGAAGGTATTCCTCTATATAATTTTATGGGTGATGCTTTGCAGCATAGTTCTCAGTCGTTACCCCGGTTTATTAAAGAGTCACTGAAACAAATCCTTGAGGAGTATGACTCTAGACAGATTTTCTACTTCTTGTGCCTAAATCTGGTAAGTGCACTTTTTTAACTCTAATGACAAATCATAGTAGAAAAAATGTCAATCTCTCTTTAAAATTTACTGGCAACTTTTAATATGACCTTTTAACTTAGAATCATAGAACTGGAAGGCATCTCGAGAGGTCATCTAGTCCAGTCCCCTGCACTCATGGCAGGACTAAGTATTATCTAGACCATCCCTGACAGGTGTTTGTCCAACCTGCTCTTAAAAATCTCCAGTGATGGAGATTCCACCACCTCCCTAGGCAATTTATTCCAGTGCTTAACCACTATGACAGTTAGGAAGTTTTTCCAAAACTTAGTTAGTTTTGGCATAGTTAACTTAATGGAATCTTAAGATTGAATACATTTTTGCTGGGTCTTCTGTGAAAGACAGGATAGTTTGACTTACAGTTGTACTTGTCAGGTTAATATGAATAGTCATGGCACCTTGTATGTATTTGTATAGCGACTAGCACAAGGGGCCTCACTCATTATTGACTCTTCTGGGCCCTACTGCAATGTAAATATACTCTGACAAAGCACTGAATGCATTTACAAAGACTGGCACCTGTTTCCTGCCCTGAAGACCGTACAATCCAATACACACAAGACACTCAACAGTAATTCAGGAAAGAGTGTTGAAAGACAGAGATCAAGGTATGAAGGATTTCTGAAATAAATCTATTTGAAGAAATGGAGAGGGTGGTTGGTGGACAAGAATTGGGAAACAATTCCAAATGTGTGGCACAGGATGATGGTGTGATGATGGAGATGAAAGATGACTGAGAAACAAAATGAGTAATTGGCAGCAGGAACAAAATCAGAGATGTAGTGGGGGAACGGGAGATCAAATAAGACCTAGAAATATGAACAATGAGCTTGAGTGCCTGCAGATAAGATAGAAAGTGGGAAGTTAGTTGAAGGCATTCGAAGGGGGATGACAACAGCAGTAGAGGGAGATCAGTTTAGTGTCCTTTTGGAATAGATAGGAGTAGAGGTGAGAAATGGGGAAGCTGCATGGACTTAAGTTATAGTAATTGAGGGGGGAGATCAAAGAATGCACAAAAATGTTAGCAAATAAGATGCTAGTAATTTTCCAGGAGTGTGAAAGTTTGGGTATGAGGGGAGTAAAGTGTCACGGCTGGCCCATGCCAGCTGACTCAGGTTCACGGGACTCTGGCTGAGGGGCTCTTTAATTGCAATGTAGACTTCTGGGCTTGGGCTGCAGCCCGAGCTCTTGGATCCTGCGAGGTGGGAGGGTCCCAGAGCTCAGGCAGGAGTCTGGAACTGGACACTGCAATAAAACAGCCAACAGCTAAAGCCCCGCAAGCCTGTGTCAGCTGTCATGGGCCAACTGCAGGTTGTTAATTGCAGTGTAGATATACCCAAAGATGACTTCAAAAGTATGAATGTAGAGGATGGGGAAGTTAATGGAGAAAGAAGGAACTGGAGAAGGATTAGGAAGAAAGCTTGATTTTATAGAGACACAGATTTATAGATAACGATGGGTCATGCAGGAGGAGATATGAGGTAGGTACCATCTTCCTCTCAAGACTAATTCCTAAACTACTTAAAACCTTTAGTTAGCAAAGAAAACAGAAGTAATTTCTCTAAAGCAACCTCCATAAATAAAATGTGTAGTGACTGAAAAACACTTTCGTTAAACTACATCTTAATGCAATGGCTTTTTGAAACCTGCTCAGTGAATAAGAAACCATCCATTAGGTGACAATCTTTGAGGTAAACAGCCTTTTGATTTGTTACAAGTAATGCTTGTTTGGGAGGAATTCAAAATCAGTGTTGGGGACAATTATGTTACTGAGTAAGGGGACTTGTGTAAAGACTTGTTAACAGGAGTACTTTTTTCTGCAGGAGTTTAATGTAACCAATATATGCTGGTTGGTCATATCAGATATCTGAGGTACTCGCTAACCACTTAAGGAGTGCGCTAGCTTTGATACAAATCATTTATGAACAGCAGCTGTCCAATTTTCAGATATTCATAATCTTGCAGGATGGACCAGTCATTATCTGTAAAAAGCACCCACCAAAACATGTAAACAAATGGCTACAGAAGCTTTCATCTCTAGGGAAATTTTTCATCTAAACTTTTCATCTCCCTGTTCACTATTGCCTTGGCAAAATGAATTGGTAAACTGCCTGGTTCCAGATAATTATTACCATCATAATTGATGAGAACTGTTTCCCATGTTGACTGCTTTGATAGACACACTGTAGACTAGATGGGCTTGCAAATTATATTGTCCTTTCAGCCCAAGAGATCAGATCACAGTTGAGCTACATTGCCATGCCAATGTGCTTGAAACTCCCTGCTCAGTACTGTTTATATTGATTTGTTTGTAAATAAAGAATTCTAGTTTCCCATATAGATGCTGTCCCTTTTATAGAAAATATGTTTGTGCAGAAGAGAGGGGGAGTTTTAAAATGTCTGCATTTACATTGACTTTTAATACAAAACTTAATATTACAATCCATCTTTTTGTTTTGTAGGAGAATAGAGTAAAATTGGTGCAGAAATATTTAAACGCTCTAAAATTAGTAGCGCCCTTCATGGCAGAGCTTCATGCCAACTGCATATGCAAAATAAAAGCACAATTTCATCTCAGAACATGTTACAAGAAAAAAAATCAATTTTTCTTTCATTTTAGGCTTTCACTTTTGTGGAACTCTTCTATGGAGTGTGGACCAATAGCCTTGGTCTAATCTCAGATGGATTTCATATGCTTTTTGATTGTTCTGCTTTAGTTATGGGACTTTTCGCAGCTCTAATGACTAGATGGAAAGCAACCCGCATATTTTCATATGGGTATGTACACTAATTTTTACATAATTATTTTGAAGAGATGCTGCTAGTTAGTTGTAGGTCCTCATTTTTTCCTCTTAAACACAAGGGACTTGGGGTATGTTCCTATTATGAAATCTTTTCATGGCACTTACTATTTCAACACTTTATTACCCCTCCTCTTTCTCCCTGCCTCTCAAAAATGTCTGTCAGTGTTATGAACCCATTGTGCTACTCTAGATCAGTCAGTTTTTCAAAAAGAAAATGAGGTATTACATGTGAAAAATACAAGCAGTTATGTCAGCATGATTGCAGGAAGGGATTTGGAAATGTGTGTGTACACGTTGGGATATTCAGAATTTAATGGGGTATTTAGCCATATAACTCCCAATGAAATTAGCAGAATTATGTGGCTAAATTCCCTAGCCAGCTTGTCAACTATCAGCTGTAATATGTGTAGTATAGTTAACTTTTTTAATTTATAGTGATACACTTTGTATTATGAGGACAAGGCCAATTACCACATGGCCATCTTTCATCCCTTTTGTCTACCTACCATCTCTTTATTTTGTCTTTGATTTGTAAGCTTTTTGGGGTAGAGATTGTGCTGTGTTGGGAAAGCACCTACCACTTTGTGAGTGCTACCACAGGACAGAGCAGAAAATAATTGTGTAACGTATTTGTTATGGTAGTTTGTTCTAACATTGTGAAAAATCAAACTGACTTGAAAAGGAAATACTGTATTAAATGCATGAATAAGCCAAATAATATTTTCAAATATGATAAATCTAGCTATTCCTCAGTCTTTCTTAAATGTACATTACACTTGTTCACTTTCAGGTATGGCCGTGTAGAAATTCTCTCTGGATTTATTAATGGCCTTTTTCTAATGGTAATAGCTTTCTTCGTGTTCATGGAGTCTGTGGCCAGACTGGTAGATCCTCCAGACATAGATACAAATATGTTAACTGTAAGTTTTGTCATTTTCTTCTGTTAAAAACAGTTTTAGTTACTCCTGTAGAATATTTATTCCGTAATCAGATCCACTCATCTGAATAGTGGGGACTCAAATTATATAATGTCAAGCATTTGTTTTCAGTATGACTTCAAAATGTTTCTTTGCTTTCTATTATATAGTGACTAACAGGATTAAAAGTCCATACGTCTAAAGATAAAAACTTCATTATATTGCCGGCTTCTAAATGTTACCTTCTCCTATTTTAAAGAGGAAAAAAGATTCTCTCTAAACCTATTCAAAAGTAGTTAAATTACAGAAGTAATTTCTTATATTACAATCCTAGTTTTATAATGAATGGCATTTGTCTGTTGGAAAGGGGGATAGAGTGTGGTTAGCTTTGTGAATGAGGCTTTAATTATTTGATCCTCCTGTTACATACATGGAAGGAAGTTCCATTTATCTACAAAATAAACTATTGAATACAGTAACTTAACATTGCATTTTTCAGGAACATAACTACTACTTTAAGCGAAACGATGTTAAGTGAATCCAATTTCCCCATAAGAATTAATGTAAAGTGGGTGGCGGTTAGGTTCTGTGGGGGGTGGGGGGGAATTGCCATAAAAAGACTATATATATATATATATATATAGACACACACACACACACACACACACACACACACACACAGTATAAGTTTTAAACGAACAATTGAATATGTACACAGCAATGATGATTGTGAAGCTTAGTTGAGATGGTGAAGTAAGAGAGTGGAATAGCCTTACTGCTAAATGATGACCTAGCACTCGACTGAGCCCTCAAGGGTTAACACGTTGTTAATGTAGCCTCACACTCTACAAGGCAGCATGAATGGAGGGAGGGGGGAGACAGCATGGCAGAGAGAGACAGAGACACACACTGTATGTCGCGCATTGCCCCTTTAAGTACACTGACCCCACTCTAAGTACATTGCCTTTTTAAGTAGATCAGCAAGTTGAGACAGCAGTTGCTGCCAGCAAGCTCCCTTCGTCCTGAGCCCTGTCTTGTCTCCCATCCCCGCCGCCCCCCCACTCTGTGAAGATAAGGTACAGGAGCGGGGGGAGGGGGGAGGGGGACACCCTGACATTAGCACCCCTCTTCCCCCTCCCCCCCCCCCACCTCTGCACAGCAAACAGGAGGCTTCTGGGAGCAGCTCCAAGGCAGAGGCAGGAGTAGTACATGGCAGTTGGGGGAAGGGACAGCTGAACTGCCCTGCAATTGATAGCCTGCTGGACGGCTGCCACACAGGGAATTTAGGAGAGTGGGGAGCTGATGGGGGGGGGCGGGGGGGGCTGCCATCCACCCTGGTTCCAAGCCCCCACCAGCTAGCTCCAACGGGCTGCTCTTTCTGCGAGCAGTGAACAAAGCAAGCAGCTGCAAAACAACGTTGTAAGGGAGCATTGTGCAACTTTAAACGAGCATGTTCTCTAATTGATCAGCAACGTAACAATGAAACAAAGTTACCCGGGACAACTTTAAGTGAGGAGTTACTGTATCCTAGCTGACTTTAGAGGTATGGTAGATATGTCTCTAGTTAAAACCATGATGGAGCCATAAGTAGTTAACATGCATTTTAAGTCAGTCAAAGCAGGTAATTGGAGTTGGTCAATAGAATCTAAGTATATCATACTTGGTAACTATAGTGTGTTTATTGTATAGCTATAATAACGTATCTTACTCTTGCTCTATTTTATTACTGTATACAGTATATTATTATACTGCTGGATTCCAAAAAAATTTAAAACAAGATAAGGATTTTGATTGCTGGAGAAATGGTAATTAGTACCCTTCATATTCAGTTGCAAAAATGTCAAACCATATAATTGTGTTAGTGTAATTGGTTATTTCTGTGATTTCTTTGTGTTAGAATCAGCCCAGTCACTTTAACAACTCTTCACTGAAATTGAATTAACTCACAATTTCAAATTCCAGCCTCTTGATCCCCAGTCCAGTAGGATTATAGAAGTATTAGGTCAGTTCCTGGAGAGAAAAGTGCTGTATGTTCAGTAACAATCCTTTGGGCAGAAAGAGTAGCACTGATTACTTCAATGGGAATCTTTCAACCTTGTGGCTTTCCTGTAAGAAAAGCAAGCCTCAAATTGGATGGAACAAATCTCAAGGCTTCAGCAGAGATGTGAAGGAACATAGATCAGATTAGCTTACTATTCAAACAGGAGCTGATCTAAGTTTCCTCTCTAAGCTGTGCGGCCACGCAGCTGCCTATTAAGCTCCACGTAGGGGCTCAGGGCTACAGTGGGGAGAGGCACCCCTCCCCACTGGCCCCAGTGTGGACCTGCCGCAGCAGGGAGAGGCACCCCTTCCCCTGTCCCAAGCTGCTGGGGTGAGAGAGGGCTGGGAGAGTCCTCTCTCCCCACCGCAGCTGCAGGGCAGCCCGGACCCCCAAGCCCCTCATTCCCAGCCCCACCCCAGAGCCCGCACCCCCAGCTCGAGCCCTCATCTTCTCCCCCCCCTGTGCTCCAGCCCTGAGCCCCCTCCTGAACCACTCATCCCTGGTCCCACCCCAGAGCCTGCCCCCCCAGCCAGAGCCCTATCCCCCCGCCCGCACGCCAACCCTCTGCCCCATATCGGTACACATGGACGTAAAAAATTCGAGGGAACACTGGTGCTGATTACCGCAGGTAGTCTTAAAACCGTCCTTGATGTATGTATGGGTACAGCTAAATCATGGAATCAAAACTGTAGATCCTGTCTTTTCACAATTTTTGCTTTTTTTTCCTAAGTCTAAGCCTTAATTTCTTAAACAAAAATAAATTTTACTTTTGTTTTTTTTGTTTGTTTTTCAAACAAGTGTGAAATTACCTCTTTCCTCCCATTGAAGGCATTGAACTCCAGTGCTTATATAGACACTTAAATAGTAAATGTTAATAGTGTAATTTAAAAGAGACACTCATCTGGAGTTAAGGCCTATTTTAAAAACATTGCTATCCTATATCTCATACTGAACTCTGTGGCCACATTCTCCAAAGGAGAGCTTCCTATTCCTATACCCTCTGCTAGGAGGTGGGGGTTCTTTCTGTCTCCTTCCTAACTGGCATTTTCCTGTTAGTTTTCCAGTCTCTTCATGCAAGAGTGGTGGAGAGTTATTTGTATTCTGGTAGCACCCACAATGTACTACTCAAACCCATAAGGCAACATGGTCCCTACCCCCAAAATATTTACAATTTAAGATGAAGTGTGCAGGTCCTTTTTAACTGTTCCTGTATGTTCTACTTGATAAGTGATTCTGGGGAGTTAAGAGAAAACTTTCGCTCTATCCTCAGAGCTTTATTTCTTGTGGGAGAAGTAGACGAACTCAGTCTCACTTTGTTGAAACCAAAGTTGTCTATGTCTGTGCCTGCTGATACCAGATTTTTTTAAAGAGGAAAAGAGAAGTCCTTCATATGAAGAGAAGTTTCACTTGTGAGCATTCAGCAGCAAGGGAATCCTTCTGCTATTGTCATTGTTAACTTCAGCTAATTGGACATGCCACGGAAGTATGTTAGATGCTGTTAACAGAAAAAATGTAGTTTTCTAGCAAACAAGTTAATCTGAGTGTTAAGGAAGAAATATTGGATTTAAAGGTTGTGCTTTTTTTCTTTCTTTTCTCCCTCTCATAGCCAGTCTCAGTTGGAGGGCTCATAGTAAACCTCGTTGGTATCTGTGCCTTTAGCCATGCCCACTCCCATGGGGCTTCTCGTGGAGGCTGTCACTCACATGATCACAGCCATTCACACCATGGTCATGGACATGGACACAGTCATGGCCATTCCCACAGTGACCATGGACACTCTCATGGGTTTTCAGGAGGAGGCATGAATGCCAACATGAGAGGTAAGTACAAATTGTTTAATTTTAAAAGTAAACTAGCCGTCGAAAAACCTTTAAATCAAAGTATCCCTTGTCCACTTTTCTTAATCTCTCTAAAACTTGTTTTCTGGCAGTCTTTTTATATAGCACACATAGAATTTTTTGGAAACACTTTTTCTAGCTAAAATGTTTTAAAGAATAAACATAATTTGGGATATTCCACTAGCTTCTTCCCTCACACTTAATGTTCTCAGATTTGTGATGGTATGGGTCCTAGAGGCACTTAATGTTGATTTATTTTTATTATTATTTGATCCATAATATTTTTACAGTACCTAAAATGTACTATATGTCTTAAAGACCAAGTAGAACTCCAACATTCATGTATCTAATTTTAGATGGCATATGACAGCTGATCAATTATAATAACTAGGAAAGGGATGGGGAGTGGAAGAACCAAGGTTAACAGCAATACATTTAAACAGTTACTCTATTTAGACACATTCACCTATTTAATTATTTGTACTTGGGTAGCATCTATAGGCCCGAACTTCTGGTTCAGTTAGTGTTAGCTTTTTAAAAAATAATTAACTTGCCACTTATGGTATGACATCCCCCAGGGTATAGTCTAGACTGTGGAGCCACTGTGTCCCCTTAACTCTCCAGCCTGGGGTGCCTTTTACTCTGATTTGCTATCAGAACAGCCACTCCTGGCCTGCTCACGCAGCCGTCAGCATGCAAAATCAAACCCAGCTGAAAATATGAATGCTCTCCCAGCCACACATGAACTATATATAGGGTGACACCCGCAAATCCCCCAGTCCCAGCATTACATCCCAGAAATGTCTCTTGCACTGCTTCGGACTCCCCCCACTTCTCCTCGAGCTGTGTAAGCTCATTAAAAGTCCGTCGTTCTATCAAAGGGAACAATGAGATTCCCCAAGCACTTCAGTCAAAACACGCTGGTTTAGGTTAGTTAATAAATGTTTTATTCTTTTAAGATTTTAAGTGATTATAAGTGGTAAAGGCATAAAAGTCAGTATTGGTTACAAGAGAAATAAAAGATAAACACGGAAACTTTACCAAGCTAAATCCTAAACTTTACCAAGCTAAATTAAGATTTGAAAGCAAAAGGGTTTCTCACCCAAAACTTTCAGCAGTCCTAACTGGAAAGCCTTCGTTAGGACCACTCTCCCCAGTTCAATGATGATTCTTTGTCTTTCAAACAATCTTGCTGCAGTGAGTAGAGATGGGGGAGGAGAGGTGGTCAGGGGCCTGTTTTCCCCCTTCATATATCTGACCCTTTTTACTGGAAAAGTCCTTGCTGGGTCCTGGGGTCAACAGTTGTATTGCATACATGCTCTGCCAGCTGTCCTTCAGGTGAATTGTAAATTTCTTGCTTACAATTCCTGTTGCTGAAGAACGGCTGCTTAAACTGATGATTGCTCTTTCACACCTGGCTGGAGCCAGAGTGCCTTTTACTCTGAAAAACTCGTTTGTGGATGTTACCCAGAAGTGTACAGCATGTTACAGTAACAATCATACAATAGAATCTTATAACATCATACACATTGTTGCTACACACATCAACAGGACAATAATGTTCAGCAGAGTATCCGTTTTCAAATTGCACCTCACAAGGCATACTTTGTACAAGAGTTATCATAATTTTATGAAAAATGGTGACCATAATAGTATAGATTGTTACACTGGGATAGCATCTATAGGCTTGAACTTCTGGTTCAGTTAGTCTTGGGTTTTTAAAAATAATTAACTTGCTATTTATGGTCAGTAAGGAAGAAGTGAATTTTGAGAGGATTTGAGGGAAGAGAGTAGTGACTGGGTGGGCCAGGACTGGGAAGTCATTCTGTGTGTTGGTAACATTGGTAGTAGTCTGAACAAAGCGATAGAGATGGTTGTGAGCTAAGTAGACCAATAGGACATTGAGGCTGACATAGTTGTTCATAGTTTTCCTTTACAAACCAGCATGCAACACAGTTTCTACAAAACTTTGTAAACCGTGTTTGTCGCTGATTCATAATATAAAATAGTACTTCTCGTCAGTTCTGCTAAAGACCAGACTAACCTAAAACACAAAGCTGGCAGCATTATTTAATATATATATATATTAATTAGTGTGGTTACTTGCTGGAATCTTCCTGATAGTATGGAAAAAATACAATATATAGCAAATCTACCAAATATTTGTCACATTAAGTCTATTACAATAAATTTTAGTATGTAAAATTTATTGTTTCAAGCATTTAACTATCACAATGCTATATTATTTTAATTGAGAAGTTGAATGCAATCAAATAGCTTAGATGACTATTCTACCGATCTGAATTTTTTTTCCTTGGTAAAGTCTGCTCAGCTTCTCACTACTTGCATATTCTTTAGTGGGAGCTGAAGTATCAGGATTAATCTCACAAACTATTAGTGTTAAGAGGTTAATATTTTGTACCTTCTAAATGCAAACTGAGAGTACTAGAGTTCAAATGATCTAAAACACTAATCCTAGCAGCAGCAGGTTATGAGAGATGTAAATCGCACAAGAGTTGGAGTAAAAACACACAACGATAATGGTCTATCTTAATACTTGCCAGCATTAGAAACAATTTAGCACATCAGTAAACTTTTCTACCATAGGTCCAAGACCAGTGATCCAAGAGAGAATTTTGATCCCTGTACTGAGAAATTTTAATACTCATGCTATATAGTCCATGTGCTGATGGCAACTAAATGCAGGCACTCAATCATTCAAAATCTTATTTTGTTTCAGGTGTGTTTTTACATGTGTTGGCAGACACCCTGGGTAGTGTTGGTGTGATCATATCTACAATATTTATTCAACAGTTTGGATGGCTGATAGCTGATCCCCTGTGCTCTCTCTTTATTGCTACATTAATTTTTCTCAGTGTTATCCCACTGATAAAAGATGCCTGTCAAGTACTTTTGCTGAGGCTACCACCAGAATGTGACAAAGATCTGCACATTGCGCTAGAAAAGGTCGGAACTTAAACTTGTATTTTGTTTTACTTTAATTTCTTTGTTTATATACAGTATAGATTTATAATGAGTTTCTGACTGCATTTATTAACTTTTACATGCAATCATTCCTCATTGTGCCAGTTATCTTTGTCTAAGACTCTTGGGCATCCCAGATTGCTTGTCTGAGTTTCATCAGTTTTTATAGAGATACCTGAGTTTTTTTGGTTTTATTAGTTTAACATTTACAATTTTAAAAATCCATGATTTTTGCGGAATAGACTGTTGAAATAACAATGGCAGCCATATGTTGCTTTTGCTTTTATGGACAGCTCACAACCTTGGACTAACTTGGTAACTCTGTAAACCGATCCAGCAGAATGAGGGAGGACTATTTAATACTTAATTGTAATTACTAAATCCAATAAATCTCATAAAAGCTGGTTTTTTTTTTTTTTTTTTTTTTTTTTTTTTTAACTCTAGCATGACCAGATTTCATTTGGCTGCAATATTCTTTCCTAGGCATGCAGTTGCAGTTTGGCCAGTCTTCCAGTCTACTGTGGGACAGGTTGGCTTGTAGTGAATGGGGCTGCAAAACTGAAGCTAGTTCTCTTCTTCCCATTTGCAGTCTCTATTGCTGATTTTTTTCCTTCCCCTTCAGTCTAGGCTGCTTTCTGCTCCTACTAAATCAGTCAAGACCTGAAGTCTATGGCAGCACTCCACTCCCATTGTTAACTCTTATCCACTAATTGTTGCTCCCAGTGTTAGCTCTTGTGAGTGCCCTGCCCAGAACCCCAATGGGCATAGTCCTGAAGTATATGGCGTGCTTGCTAAATACTTCTAAATCGGGAAACTGGTGTGGGAACTTCCAGGATTCCATCAACAAGAGTAGAAGGGGGACTCCAGCAACAAGGGTATTCAACACTGCCTGTCACCAGGGAATGGGAATAATAGATTCTTGCCACCAGGGAATACAGGATGGAATTAAATTGGATGAGGGAGATCCATGGAGAGGAAGAAGAGGAGGAAGGTGAGGATTGTGGACTTACGTGATTTAGTGAAAGGAGATGGAAAAGGAAACTGGGCGAAGCAGAAGAGGGAATGGAAGTGAGTGACCTTGAGGTGGGATAAATAAAAACCAGAAACAAAACCGGAAAATAATCCAAATGCTAGGAGTGGGGAGAAAAAAATTAACCAGTATGAAACTTAGTAAAGAAATATTACAATAAATAACCTAATAAAGTTCACTTTAAAAAAAAAAAATTCATGTGGACAAGGAGGGAGAGGAAATGTGAACATATTAAGTCCAACTAGGATATTGAAGTATCTGTTTATCTTGGTTATCATGGGGATAGGTCCTTAGAAATGCTTGGGTGCCCAAAGCCAGCCTCTCTGCTAGTCTCTCCTTTGATGCTACTATAGTCTGGCCACCAGTTGGGGACTCCACTTCAGTGTCTTTGTCCCTCCTTTTTAGCCCCTACCCACAAACTTTTCATTTTGCCTTCTATTTTTGGCAATGATGGAACACTGTCCCAATTCCAAAAATGTTTCTATATAACAATTTCTGTATATAACGTAAAATGATGGCAGTTTATTTCACTCTATAATAGTATCTGCTGCATGAAATAATTGCCACCAGTAGCTATCTAAGTGTGCAGGAAGGCATAAAGTAGAATATTGCAAAAGTAATTCTTACTGTTAATGCAATTTTTTACAGATCCAGAAAATAGATGGTTTAATATCCTACAGAGATCCTCATTTCTGGTGTCACTCTGCTAGTGTTGTGGCAGGTACTATACATGTACAGGTGATGTCAGATGTGATGGAACAGAGAATTATACAGCAGGTAACCATATAACACTTTCAGAATCTGTTGGCTCTTCATATTTTACGCCCTGTTGATTAACCCTGAATATTTCAATCATAGGCTTAAGTTTGAAGCTGCTGTTGTAATGATTTCCATAGCTAGTAGCTGATGTTCCAGGACAAGCCTTTTCAGTATTGCTCTGCTCCTCCTTCTGCTGTTGTCCTATAAAGTTTGTTTGGTGGTAGGCTTTTGACATTTGAAAACAGATCAGCCAGTTTCTTTTGTCTTGCTTTAGAGGTGACCTGCCAAAAGGATTTTTTGGGGGAACCTAGTTTTGTAGGTTTTTTTTTTTTTTTCATGGTATAACAAAAGCCTGAACGAATTCTTCAGGGTGGTGGTGTGGGGCTTTTTTCTGCTTGTTTTTAATCTTCGAAATATCAGAAGTGTTTAGCCTATTTTTCCTTTGTTTTGCTGGAGGACTTCCTGGGGATCTGAGATGTATTTTAGGAACTCTCACCTTAAATGAAGGGGCAAGAGTGACATGTTTTTTATGACATTCTCTCCAAAATGTTCATTAATCAGTGCTGTTAAATAGGTACTAATAAAAAGAAACAAAGGTTTTAAACAGTCTGAATAAAAATCCCTTACTTTTTCAACTGCTCAGTTTTTTACTCTTGTAAATACAATTTCACTGGTTCTCTTTTCACTGTTCCAAGTTAGATGAGACCTGAATTAATAATGTTTTTTTAAAAATGGGGAAACCTTTCCAGGCGATCTTTTTTATGTTCTAGACATTGCTACCAGCTCTGCCTGTAGTTGACGTTGTCAGACACTTCTCATTATAAAGACCCTGTTTTTAGCCACTTATAACTTTACCAAACTTTAACGATTAGGGCTGAAACTTTCCATGCTGGATGTTTTCCTCCAACTTTAAAAAAAAAATTAAGTTTCAGCAAAAATGATTCACCATGGTTTGCCCTTGCCCCTTCCCTGTACTTTCCCTGCAACTGGTGCCCGTAGCTGCCAGGAGTTGCTGTTGCACTAGGCTTAGGAATTGAGAGCAGGAGTGTTCTTGATGCTCCCTTTTCTGGCACCCAGGCAGCATGGAGGAGGGAGCAGCTTAATTCAGGAGGGACAAGAGCTGGGCCTGGAAGGGCAGTGTGGGTAATGGAAGGAGTAGATTAGGAGTAGAGTTAGGGGGCAGGGAGGAAGACTGGGAGTGAGCTTGGGTGTGGGGCTTTTGACTGGGTATGGCTGTGCAAGGAAACTGGGAGCCATGAATAAAATGGTGTGTGGGAAGGACATGGGAGCAAGACTGAAATTGAGCAGGAGCTGGGGTGTGAGGCTGGGGCTTGGGGTCCACATGCTATGCCTAAGATTTCCAAAGGGGCCCAAACCTCCATTTGAAATTTATTAGGGATCCGCAAATGAAAAAAGGTTGAAAACCACTGATTTAAACCAAACTTTCATAGTCACTATTAATTGTGTGTTCCTCATTTTCTGGGTGCCACTTGCCTTGAGACCCTGGGGTCTGATTTGTGGAAGTGCTGAGCACTGACGGTGCAGTTGAAGTCTATGGGAGCTGTGCTTTGAACATATAAAGTCCTTATACAATGCTAAGTACTCTGAAAAAAAAAAATCAGATCCTAGGCATCTTAAATTGGGCATCTGAAACTATTGGATACTTTTTACCTTGATCTCTGTGCCTCAGATCCCCATCTGTAAAATAGGGGTGTTGTAAAAATAGTTTGTTTGTGAAGCACTCAGATACCATAGTGATGAGTACCATAGTAAAGCCTATGAGGAAATTAATAATTCTGTAGTCAGAGCAGGATTTGAATAGTTTGCAATAAATAAGGCTTGAGGACACACATTGAACAGTGAGGATAAAACATAATGTCCATTCTTGCATGAATGAGGCAGAATTCCCGAGGGAATAAATATGTAGTCATATTAGACTATATCATAATTCAGCCCCCTCAATTAAGCATTAAGGTTGCCTGTGCGATTCCTAACTTTTGACTGCTTGACTTTTTCCCCCAAAAAATTCTAGCTACAAATTGAATCATTTTAATTTTCTGACTGGCTCCTCTCCGGGCCATAATAAATGTTGTATCTTTAGATTTGATGTGACCTTTTGTGCTCGTCTGTAACTACCGTTCTAGTGTCTGAGTATAATCACAAGTTACAATTAAAGAGATTTAATATTGAATTTCTGTTATGCTCAGGTAACAGCAGTTCTGAAAGATGCTGGAGTGAACAATTTAACTGTCCAGGTGGAGAAAGAAGCCTATTTTCAACATATGTCTGGCCTCAGTACAGGATTCCATGAAGTCATTGCTATGACACAACAAATGGAATCCATGAAATACTACAAAGATGGCACTTACATCATGTGATGTGAAGTTACATTCACCACTGGGATATAAACTGTAGTATTCAATATTTGTATTATTTTGTCAGGAGATCTTGCACATAAATGTACAGAAACAAATATAGTATATATTTGATTTTTTTATAAAAGCTTAATATGTTGAGACTGGATCAGGGTGCTTTTATAAAGGAAATAAGATGGACTAGAACATTTGCTGTATATGTGGAAATAATGTAAATCTGAAATACTGTACTTGGTGTTTATTAAACAGAAATCTTGCTACATGTGTGTGGATGAGCACAAATGTATTCCATACCTTCCCTAAAGTATGGAAAGTCAAATCAAGAATCATGTTCATGTCAAAATTAAAGGGAAAAGAAAACGCTTTACAAGAGAAACAAAATTGCCTCCAAAAATACTTTATTTCCTTCAAAACGATTTTGAGGAATCTGTGTGTGCGTGCATGTTTACACATTTATTATGAAGAGTAAAACTTAAACTGCATATGAAGTCAAGGTTTTTTGCAGAGTTTTATCTACAAAAAGGAATATACAATTTTATATTTATTCACTCTGTATAAAACTGATTTCTAACCATAATTTTAGTACACCAAGGCAAATAGATGCTATCATTTTAAATTTATATCAAAATGACTAATTTTTGTAAGAAAAAATCAACCGGTACACATGCTAGCAGTGTGGATGTAGGGAAGAACAGAATTGCAAGTTTTGCCCTTGCACTATTTTGTGTTCTTGTTTACTGGGGAGGCTGAAAATCAATTTGAACCACTATGTAAAATAAACATTTTATACTTTTTTATGATAATTGCAAGTGAAATATTATTGTTTGAAGTGTAAAGTACTTCATCCCTGAACATCCTAACTCTCTCTCTCCTCTAGCCATGCTCTTCCTGTTAAAATGGTATAATCCAGTTATTTTTAGATGCCTAGATTTCTTTCTCCTTGACAGGGTAACTAATTGTGGAATTTCATGCAATTGATATATGTAAGTTCTATGGCATTGAATACCTCAGTATTGTGCAAAGAGCTATTTCATAGTCAATTGAAGTTAATTCATAAGGAGGGAGGAGGAGCAGCTGAATGAGCTGGTAGTGAACTCTTAGTACCTTATTTATCATTGAAGACTCTTTGGAATAGGTGTGAAGAAGCTCACAGTGTTGTTCAGGAGCAGCTGAATGGTATCTTTCCATCAACTGAACACGTACCATGTCTAGACAAAAAAACACTTTCTATTGTGGCTAGGTAATGGAGCCTACCCTAAATCTGTCATCTAGTTCAAAAAACTTACCCATAGACTGGATTTAGTATATTATGTCTCTTGTTATAACAGATTTACTTATGTAAACTATACCATTGTACAGTACTAAGGAAAATGTCCCTGTAATCCATATTAACAGTCTGGGGCTTTACAAGATAAGACAAAATGTGTAAATTTAAGTGAAAAATATTTACTTTAGCCAATATATACACACAACAGAAGAAAAGCCTTACTCACTATTCTGTTAGCAAAAGCCTGGTAATAAGATTATCTACAGTAGTTAAGTGAACACGTGTTTCTTACTGTGTTGTTGGAGACAGACTTCCTTAAAGCTATCAGTTTATTTCCCTGTGCCACACTCATGCTTTTCCTCTTCCTATATTAAAAACACTTAAATGTGTCCTTTGAAATCAGCAATCACAGAATGCAATGGTTAACTTAATGTAACTGAGTAGTGCTTTCATCATTTAGTCCACATATTTGCTCACTGTTTTTATTGTGGCACAAAGCTTGTCCTCTTTATACAGTTTGGGGAAGGTACCTGAATTCTTATATTTTGCTCTTAATTATGAAAGACTTGAATTAGTGTTGGTGGAATTTAGCATACAATGACCTAGTAACTACTGTATCATATCAAATTTAATATTTAAAATATCATTTAGCAAACCAACTTTTGTGATCAGAATTTTTCTTGCCTTCTGTATTAATTTCCAGTATATGCGTGTTTAAACAAGGATGTTCCATACCATTCCCTTGTCTTCCAATAGTGCTGAATTTGAATAATTTCTATGGCCACTGGACTGATTTTTTTTAAAATGTAGTTGTGGCCAGAAAAAAAGTCTGTAAAAATGGCATCTTTCTTACTCAACCAATCTTACGTGTCTGTATTCAGTTGTGCTTGCAACTTTAATATGTTTTTACTTCTGTAAGCACTACAGAACCAATACAGCCCTGGAAGTGTGATCAGGATGGTCTTCTGACTACATCAACAGAATTGCTAATGTTCTGATTGCATTTATTTTATTGATGGTGTGTGAGCTAGAAAGAAAACCACTAACTTGCAGATCCTAACACAAATTCAATGTGCAAAGGGGATTTTTTTTTCTGCTTAGATTTTTATTTTTTCATCATCCAGTTGTTTTTCTGGATGGCTCTGGTCAGCTATGGAACTAGTAATCTTATGTGTTCACAGCTATCATGCAACTTAAACCTGATTATCAGAGGAGGAGAGTAATGTGTTGACAAACTGTTGAACAGGTCTTTCAGACAAAATGTTTGGGACCACCTTCACACATCATGGTCAAGTTTGAGTTGCAGTACTGGCAGTTGTGACTGTAAACTGACCAACCTGAGCAGGAAGCCACTGGCATGTCCTGATAGGCAAAAAGGTATGATTATTTTTTTCATTCAAATTAACAACAATTGAAAAGACCTCTTAATGCATATTAAGGTCTTGTCTAGCATGCTAACATCACACCTTAAATTGTCTAGATAAGGCCTGAGACCCAGGTGAGCGCATTTAAAATGTTATGTGGTGGTGGTGTAGCCTAGGCTCACTCTAGCCTATAATAGGACCAGCTATCAGGCTTTCAAACATATTACCCTGCATTTTAATAAGCATTAAGAGGGCTCTTCAATTGTTTTAAGCTAAAAATTAGAAACCACATCTTTTTTGCCCATCAGGATAGAGTCAAAGAGAGACATTCTGCCGCTTCCATAGAAACCCTCTTCAGGCTATAACCATATTTTTAAGCAAAGGATTCAGGTTGCACTGCACTATCAAGCAGAACTGGACTATAAGATAGTTTTTCAGCTCACAAGTTCCTGTTCTAGTAATTTAATTTGTGTACAGGTAGATAGTGTTTCATTGTATGTTCTAAATCAGTTTCATCTTTGAAACTGCAACTCTCTCATTTGTATATGTGGCAGCAAGTAATGTATGTATATAGTGCAGCCAAAAAAATACAAATATTTTGTGAATGTTTATCATGTACTGCATCTTGACTTGTGCAATTTTTTTAAAGATTTTATTTTCATCTTATGAGATGTATAAATGGGCAGATTTGAAATATAGAAGGTTCCGTTTTACCTTTTGCAACATGCTTGTGGTGCAGAAGATGAACACAGACTGCTACTGCTCATATTAGTCAATACTACAGTACGATGGTATGTTAGATCATGAGCTTTACTACTGCTTGTAATGTACACTTAAATCTTACTAGTTTCAAAGAAACATACTGACCTGTTGTAAAGTATAAAAATTTGTAGGTTTAGTAGGGGTCTGGTACTATCTTACTGACCTTGACATAGACTTTCTTCTGAAAACACTTGCAGCTTTTCATGGAAATCCATCATAACTCACAATGCACATGACTTTTTCATCTAAAACTGGTTGTAGCATGTGAAAATTAAGACAATACTGTATATTTCTTTTTGTCCATATCCCTATACCACAAAATTAATGTGGTGAGAAGATGCCCCTCTTCTGTGAAAGTATATTATCTTTACATGTTTTGTGGTAGCCTGTGCCAATGCAGGCAGTGGGTTCCTCCTCAGTTCTGTGAGCCACAATGATGATCAATTACCCTCCAGGATTTTTCCTCTCTCTAATATTATTCTGCAAAAACCTGCAGCTGGCTCTAGAGGCAAACTTTGCCCTGTCAGTGGTTGGGCAGGACTTCTGCAGCAGAGCTTCGCTTTGGGAGTAAGTGGAGGTCAGGGATTCCCCATCTCCTTACGTCTCAGGCAACTTCTGTAAGACTTTGTATTCACTGTGCTCTATCCTGTCGTTGGGGAATCACAAGTTAATTATTAGAGCTGATCAGAAAATACGTTTTCCATAGAAAATTATGATAAAAATAATTCGCCAATTTTTCTGAGGAAAAATTTGAAACTTCACTGAAAACTGGCAGCATTTCCAAATTGAATTTTTTCATAGTGCCTCCAAAGAACAGTAGTTGGGATGCATCTGTGATGGGTTGGATCACAGAACCCCCCCTTGGGAGCTGCTAACTGATGTGCCAAGACTACCTCTGCTCTTGTTTTGCCTGCCAACTCAGGACTCCAGCACCCTGTCTTGCTGAGCCAGACACTCCCATCTGCTCCAACAAAGACCCAGGGTCTGAATTACTTGCCCCAAAGTTGCAGGTTTACCTGAAAACAGCTCACAGAAGTGCGCATGTCTTTAGCACTCAGATGCCCAACTCCCAATGGGGTCTAAACCCAAATCCGTTTTACCCTGTATAAAGCTTATGCAGGGTAAACTCATAAATTGTTCGCCCTCTATAACACTGATAGAGATGCACAGTTGTTTGCTCCCCCAGGTATTAATACATACTCTGAGTTAATAAGTAAAAAGTGATTTTATTAAATACAGAAAGTAGGATTTAAGTGGTTCCAAGTAGTAACAGACAGAACAAAGTAAGTCACCAAGCAAAATAAAATAAAACACACAAATCTATGTCTAGTCAAACTGAATACAGTTCTCACCCTCAGATGTTTCAGTAAGTTTTTTCTCAGACTGGACACCTTCCAGGCCTGGGCACAATTCTTTCCCCTGGTACAGCTCTTGTCCCAGCTTAGGTGGTAGTGTGAAAGTAGAATGAAATATATTGTAAAAATAGAATGGATTAAAGAAATGCTGTATGTACCTTTAAGCAGAAATAAGGAATGTTGAAATACAGGTGGCAGGAAAAGAAACGTTAGGACATAAACAAAGAGTTCACTTAAGCTAATGGTGGAACATTAACCGGAGATTGGTAAAAGTTAGTAAGGAAATTAAATATGTATGTCTAGCCTCAGGTAAACTTGTCAGTTCTGCTTTCTTTGTCCTCTTGTTAAGTTCACGCCCTTTTATCTGTATAAAATAAGGTAGTGTGGGTCTTGCATGGTGCTCACATTATCTGGGTGTATTAGCAGAGCGCTGTGCTAATAAACAGAGTGGTCTAACAAATTGAGAGTCCTGAATCTGACTTTGACAATTTGGAGGTTCTACCGAGATGGCAACCGTCTTCACTGGGGCCGTGTGATTCCTGACCGTTTTTGTAGGACGACCGTGGCAGCCGGCACCTGGGCATTTGGCCTGAGCGGTCCTCCGCCTGAACGGAAAGGCGCACAACCACAGTGAAGTCTACGCCATCAAACCTGTTGGTTCCCACTCTGTTCTGGTAGGGATCCCGGGATCTGACATCAGGTATCTGGTCAGGTAATTATTTCTGTGTTTTGTCCGGACTGAGGACTGTCCTATCTCTGTGACTATCCGTCCTCCCTGTGGAGTGTTTGAGTCTGGGTGCCGTCTCTGTCCAGGGATCGGCCGACTAAGGGGTTCCTGTCCCCACAGTCTGAGTGAGTGAAATCTGCACAATCGCAGACGCACCGCACCTTGAGTAAAACCCTTGGTGTGAAAGCAAGGGCGATTGAGGCAGTAGCCTGTGGGCTCCTTTTGTGTGTCGCACAGGGCATCGCTCTGACGAACCCGAATTTCCTTCTTGTGTGATTGGTGTATGTAAAGTCCTCCTGTATGGGTAACCAGACGTCTAAGTCGGGAAGTTCCCTAAAGGAATGCCGGCTCATTTTATGTATTTTAGGAAGGGTCCGGACTCCTGTAAATTTCTGGAAAAATGGTCTAGGTTAACTCAGGGGGATCCCAAAACTCAGTGGCCACTGTTAGGATCTTGGGACAAAGACCGAGTGGATGTCTTAAAAGACAAACTGGCCAACCTAAAACTAAATTGGCCAGAGGAGAGGTTGATTGTTTCATGCAGTGGTGGGAAGAGGCAAATCGTAGGTGGACAGAATTGAAACTTGCCTCTCTCAAAGCTTCAAATGATAAGTTAAAAGCTTTATTGGAAGCCTCCTCTCCCAGCACCAGACCGAGCGCTCCCCTTTACCCCGTTCAAGCAGACTCAGATCGATCCTAACCCATTCATACTCCCATCTCATTCTGGAAGAGGACAAAGAAACCCCTTTGTTAAATTCTGGGGACAACGATGAGGAAGACGCATTAATTGGCTTGGCAGCCTTGTGTCAGATCAACAGACGATCACCAGCCTCCCCAGTTCAGGAATAATTCTCAGAGGTCACCAGTTCAGACCAGTCCGGACCATCCAATGCCGCCCAGGCCCATTCCTCTGGTACCGGTCAGGCCTGTAAAGAAAAATCCCTTGTTCCCCTGAAATCCTCCAGTCTGCCTGACTTCTCTGCTTTTTCTTATACATGCAAAGATAGCCTGAATAAGGATTGGGCCCGTTGCTTGCACTCTAGCTCTAAAACTGTCCAGGCTCCCCTCTGAATCCTGCATACTGGGGGCCAAGAAGGGGGTCCCACTTGGAGCTATAAACCCTGGACTCACACAGAGCTCCATTCAATTGTAAAAGGCTTTCCAAAGCCCCTGGAAAATCCTACGAAATTCGCAGAGGAATTTTTGTTAGTATGCGACACCTATGAACCCTCTGAGGCAGACCTCCTGCAGCTGTGTAAGCTGCTTGTAATCCCTAGCGAACATGAAAAATGGTTCACAGCAGCAAATTGGCCTGTCAGTGAGCGCCACTCTAATTTGCCAGACACTGGTCCTGACGCTGAATACCGGAAAAAGTGTAAGGACCGAGCTAAAAGTCTACTTGAAGCCATCCCTTGAGTATGGACTCCTAAAACCAACTGGATGGCCATACACTGCTGTAAACAGCGACAGGGAGAAAACCCGGGCGACTATCGCACCCAGCTGACTGATGTTTTTCTGCAACATTCTGGTATACAGCAACCAGGTGAAAATGGACGGGGCGCCCTGGCTCATGCATTTGTTAATGGCCTCCTACCTGCTATTGGCAGTATGCTAAAGCGAAAAAGTGTTGGGTGGGAGACCGAAATCATGGACAAATTGCAAACAGTCGCAGAGCACTGCCAACACACTCTGAAAGGAAAGGAGGAACAGTCCTCTCAAAAATTAATGGCCCTGCAAATTCAACATTATTCAGGGCAGGGCAAACAGTACCGGGGACGGGGAAGGTTCCAGGGATGGGGACGTGGACGAGGGAGGGGTCGTGGAACTGGATTTTCGGGTTTTGGGGATGTTTGTAATTACTGTAAGCAGCCCGCTCATTGGAAGAACGAGTGTTCGAGCCAGCCTGATACCTCTGTAAATAACCAGTTAGACCCCCTGTCGGCACAGCCCGACAATCCCCAGCCTTACTTTGTCCCACAGCAATGACGGGACGCCGGGGAACCTCAGGAAATTTTAGCTCCTTTACTACCTCTCACTCCCACGGGTGAGTGTGTTTTGACTATTAATGATCTTTCTCTCCCTTTCCTTGTTGATACGGGAGCTTCGCTCTCTGCAGTTCGTATTACCGATCTGCCTGTGGTTTCCCGCTCCAGAAAAACCGTGTCCGCTGTGGTTATTATGGGAATCCCAACCCCTTATCCCCTATCAATACCTCTACCGGTCCAGGTCGGTCCCCTTTCTGTGGATCATGCATTCCTTCTCTCTGATTCCACTCCGGTAAACCTTTTGGGTCGGGATCTGTTATGTAAACTTGGCTGTACCATGTATTGTTCCCCGTATGGTGTCTACTTACAAATCCCCCAGTCCTCTCTGAGTGATTCTGTGGCCTCCCTGCTGTCTGAAACTCCCCTTTCCACTCCAGTCCCCTGTTTCCCATTGATCCCGTCCCTTGAACAACTAATTTCGCAGATCCCATCCTCTCTGTAGCCAACCCACCCATCTGAAGTGGGCTGCTTAAATACTGACCCTGTCTGCATTACTGTTGACTCCTCCAAACCCCTGTCTCGCCTGTCTCAATACCCTTTAAACCCCGAAGCAGAAGCTGGCATTGCTCCGGTCATGACTGCCCTGCGGGAACAAGGCATTATTGTCCCCTGCTCCAGCCCCTGTAACACCTCTATCCT